AAAAAAAAATCTGTAAAAATCAACGAAAGGCAAAAACTAACTAATACTAATTTTACACAATTTAAATATAAGTTCTAATTTTTAACAGAATATATCTGCTTTAACATACTACACAACGTTGGTTGGCCTCGTAGTAGGTGGTTGCGCGCTCGGCTTCGTCATCATATCAACGGCATTTTTGAACAGCTGCGTTTTAACGAAATCTGTAGCCGCCGAATTGAGGTCCTTATTTGCACCGAAATTACACTTAATATAGCCAAACAAATTGGCGCCATTAAGTGCAAGTGCAATCATCACCAGCAGTAACCATTTGAATTTCAAACCGAAAAGTGCCACCAAAAAGAAGAGGCCCCAACACACGGGAAATAGTATTAATCCTAACCAGAAAATGCGCGCCTCATTGTTGTTTACACGCCCCTTTTTAGATTCGAATACCCAATGTGATACACCTTCATCGTCTACGTAATTCCACCAGCGTAGTCCGACCAGCAAACGACCAGTAATATTCTTGACAGTCCAAAAATCTGCTGACAGAAATAGCACCACAAAAACAAAGCTGGTTATGAAGGAGTCGCTGAACCAGCTGCAGAACATGTATATAACTACAGCAGCGCCGCGGAAGAAAAGGTGGAAAAAGGTAACGTAAGGATGTCTACAGGATTAATTGATTTAATTATTTCCTTTATATTTCATTTCAAAAGTATATGTAATTTCTTACGCGTATTTTTTAGTGCCTTCACTTGGATCACGCATTTCATCCTCCTCGCCAAATGGAATCGTATCATCCTCTAGCAGTGGCACCTACAATAAGCAACAAAATTTTGTAGCGCACAAAAGCGCGAATGGAATTAATAGCGTTGAAGTGATTCATAAACAGGTCAGTTAGTAAAACCAATCCTGTCGAGTTAGAGGAACGGAAGCATGCAAACCTACATTTCTTACCGTAGCCGAAGCCATTTTATGCTAGTTTTTAAGTACTGCTTTACTGGAATGCAATTGTTGCGCCGATTGATACAATTTTACTTGCTGATGCAAAGAAAATTTATTATTTACACTTCAGCCACTTGTCTTGCTTACGTTTGATTTGACACTTGACACTTTATTTGACATAATTTGGACCGAATGTCAGCCTAAAGCAAATAAGCTATACTATCGGAAGTACAAGGTGCCTGTGCAATTGTTCCAATGCATTACCGGAAGTACAAGGTGTTTACCGAATCGGTTAGGGACCAAAATCCTCGGTTAAGGGCCCTACACACGCACTGATTAAACGGAAAACAAGTTCCCACCCGACCAAGAAACGTATCTTAGCGATGTTACATGTTTTATGATAATTTCTCTTACCGGCCGTCTTCACATGCTTGAAAATCTCGCATGCGTTCTGCTATAGAGTTTTGTTGACAGGGCATTTGACAGCATACTTTTTCATTGCTAAAATGTCGCCTAAAGCCTGATATACAGTTCAATGCGAGCGTGAGCGTGAGCTTTTTATTTTGACCAATATCTTTGTATCAAGCTTAAAAAGAAGGTTCGAGCTTTTCAGGCCAAATTTGTAATTGCCCCCAAAATGAACAATGTTTCTACTTTGAAGAATTCTACGAAATAATAAAATACCTGTCAGACAACAAAAATGATGGTTGAATGTATGCGGGATCTCGGTATACGAGGAAAAGTATGCTACGTACTTTTTGCGGTATACATACGCGGGATCTCACATGCGTCGTCATGCAAGCGAGATTTTCCAGCACGTGAAGACGGCCGGTTACCCTCGAGCTCCGTCTCGCCAAAGAATCTCGTATTTCAAACAGAATTTTGTATTTTCGCAACTATATTCGTTAATTTTTATGGAGAATGTATTCGTTTTATAAATTTT